TCAAGATGTTCAAAGCGTGTCGGGCGCCCATGCGGCCGAGACCGGCAACAGCGACTTGCAATCTGTGAGGAGCCATCTTGAAGCGATTAGGAAACGAGCAAAGATCTTGATAGTTTGAGATAGCAAGAAAGAGAGAGGTAGTCGAATGGAGTGAGCGCGGAGTGAGCGCTGTGAGGAAGACATTTTATAAGAATTGTGGGCAGATCACTAATTCTCGTGCCTTTCGGAGGAGGTTTTCGTAGGTGTTTTGTCCATCTTCGGCTCGGCCTCTGATTGGCTAGACAGCGTTCCTATGAAGTTCGGAGGAGGTTTTCGCAATGCAATGCACGCCAGTGTGGAGAACATGCGGGCGGCGTGCTTCAAACAGGTGCCAACAAGACTGTGCGGGGCTCGGAGGAGGTTTTGGGTGGTAAAATACGCCAGCGTCAAGGCGAAGATCCGGCAGAAAGACCGTGCACGAAGAAGGTGCAGCGATGGCAAATAACCCCGCGACGGCAATTTCTTCCGCCCAGCACCTTCTCATCACCAAAGGCCGCACTCGCTTCGGCACAAGACTCCAGACTTGACCAGCATGGGATAAAATATGGTTCCGCTTCTTTTTCACCATGTCTCCACGTCGTGGCCCCGGACGAGCCGTATTTGAAGTTCGCCGCCCATGCTAGTCTACTGTGTAGCCCGGGCTTGTAAACGCTTCATACTTGGCAACGGAGAGCGTGCAATGGGCTTTCAATGAGAATGATAGAATGCCATAGTAATACGGTGAGTAGACTTCTGAAAATGCAACACTGCTGTCGACCGTGAATCAACCTTGAAACCCTCAAAACCATGCTGCCTCGGCCTTCTCGACACCCATCATCTTAACGAGCCTCGTACCATCAATCGCTCATAGTGCACATGATAATACTGTTCATGCGACGGTGCCTGTTCGCCATCGCTAGCTGTGCGCGCCCAGGTACTGGCGGATTGCAACGGTGTGAAGGCATGGCCATACGTCGGATAGTTGAAGTTTATCAGTTCTGAGTAAAAGCCTCCATGTCAGCTTCGCCGTCTTTTGGAGTGGGAAGAGTGCAGCATGAGAACGCACCATCTGGGGTAGGACTGCGACGGGATCCGCTGCGCGACGTCCTCCGCTTAGACCACGCTAGCGAAGAGGCGATTCCCAACACGGCTACAACCACACCAATAAGGCCAATGATAGCTTCCGTGGACATACGACCATTGAGGTTGTCGGAGCCGATAGTTGATTTCTGGTGCATTGTGTCTTTCTTCGACGATGTTGGAATTGCAGAGATGGAGACGAAAAAGGCCATAGACGCCGTCAAAGACCGACGGCGGCAGTGCGAATCCATGCGAGCAAGGGATGGAGAACAAACCGATCTCACTGATCAGAAATCTGAGTTGCAGAGTTCAGAGCATGGCGGGAGCCTTTGATATTCATATGCATGATCCAAAACATGCGGCATAGCTGTCGTGTGGGTAGCAGGGCGCTTCCAAAATGGCTGTTAATTATTGAGAGACATGTACCTTATACAGAACCTGTCCTCAGCTCAAAGACCCTTAATTATCTCGATTGCGCCTACACGCTAGATTTTGGTCCGCCCACGCGCCAACCAGAACTCAATGCATTTCCGATAGGCTGCGCTAGATGCAACACACAAGCACAATGTACACATATTCTGCTCGTGGCGTAAGGTGGCTTGCAGCACTCCCGTAACATGACTGCCGCAAGGTGCGCGATCTACCTATCGGACTATGGCTCAACTCAATATTTTAATCGTTTGCCTCCAATCAGGCTCAGGATATCCAAACTCAATGATTGTGTTGACTGCAGATACCTCTCACTCGTGAACGACTTGGATCAACCGCTCCAAGACAAGATAGGCTTAGTGCAGTCCGGCTGACAGCGATTTCTAGCGTGGTACCTGGATCAACCCGCGACAAAACCCCCGGCAAATCACACTTCCCACGCCCAACTCCCACCAACGCAGACAAAATGAACGAAACACTCAGGGAACTCCATCGCGATCTTGCCAACAAATACCGACAGCATGGCCCCCGCATCGAAGAAAGGTGGCGTTCGCTTAGCCAAGAACAACGCAAGAAGATCATGCAGGCTGGCTCTCGTGATGGCGCTGTCCTGAAGCATGCTGAAGATACGAGCTTAGAGAATGTCTACAAGTTCATTCCCGAATGGAATATACGCGACATCACTGCCCCTTCATCAAACTTCTTCCTCGATATGCTAAAGCACCGGGCAACCCTGCCACTCAAAGACCAATACGCGACAGGGTTCAATGGACGTCCAGGCGATCACGCGCATATAGTTGATATGATGCAGAGGAAGAACCTACGGCTCCAAGACGCCGCCCAATTCAAGAACTGTTACACGCTTTTCTTGACGGAGGATGGCTACGGCGAATCGGTCCAGATCCTCGCAGAAAAGCGGGAAGAGGTTTTGGCAAACATGAAGCCGGCCATACAAGCTCAAGTCATAGTACCCCAAGCTACTGGCGAGCTAATTCTCATGCGACAGGTGAATCTGATGCAGCTACTCAACATCAGCATTGAAGATATTCTCGATACCGCGTCTACCACGCGAACCCAGACGAAGCGCCCGAAGAAGCCAGCCGACGAGGCGACTGCAGCTCTAGCAAAGTTATCCGTACACTCGGCTCCGAAAAAGGCCGAGCTCTCAGACCTCGTTGACATGGCTCGCGATCAGGTGTCGTCGCGTGAGGATCTCATTAGTCTGATCTCCATTGAGCCTACGCTTCTAGCCCATGAAGTCAACTTTTGCTTCTTCAGTAGGCCGGAACTTGTCGCCGACGAGAAAGGCCGCATGTTGCCTGTACATACAGATAGGTACATCAGCGGTGCTGTATTCGATGCCGTTCAGAACGCGGTAAAGATCGCTGCCACATGGAACTACATTGGCCGTCTCATGGAGTTGCTCAAGGATTCATCAGATAAACAGTTCCGAGCGACTATCCTCAAGGAAGTGTCGAACACTTGCCACCTGGAGTATCTGCGCGCTCAGAATGGATTCAAACGTAGTGTGGCCGTCGGCATGGGAGGCAGCAAGTGGTTCAAGCGCATGTCGACCGTACAGAAGGACGACGTTCCGCGCATCTTGCTGAAGCGAAGCCCCGAGTCTTTAACAGTAGAGAACCCCCAGTTACACTACATGCTTCGACTCTGCCAGGAGGATACAAATTGGTCCGGGGCTGCGCAGTGGCTTCAGAAGCTAGAGGATCTCCATCGAGCCCATCCGCTAGAGCGAGACAATCTCTCGGAACGTGAATACGACTGTCTCGGAGACCTGGCCATCATCGTCACCTTCGTTCAATCTCTTTCGTTAGTCGCGCAATTACCCGCACCGAACCACAAGAAAAGCCAGCCATTCGTACCGGGCTACACAGCTTTGGACAAGGAGCTGAGGTCGTTGAAAGACGGTGTAGACCTCGGCGAGTACGCCATTCCGATCGACAACTTGCTGGAGCCGGGCATGGCTGAAGGCGCTCTTGCAGCACTAGATCAGTATGTCGTTGAGAAGGCGGGTACGAAGCTTGGCTTTCTCTACCAGGATCTGGTTGCGGACTGCATTTCGAGCATTCAGCAACAGTACGAGCAACAAAAGTTAAAAGCTAGTCAAAGCCAAGCTGAATACAAAGCACCATCAGCTCCCGAGACCCCAGTGTCGAACATCGAGCAACGCAAGCAGAAGGAGAAGACACGACCGGCGCAAACTCCCCTCTACGACATAACGCCACAAGCCATCACAGATGACCAACCCGTTTCATCAAAGGAGACCTTCTACGTCAAACCCTCCACTGCCGCCGTCTTCTCGTCGCTGTTCTCAAGATCGTCAGCAGCGCGTAGCCCAGTACGTTGGGACGCGTTCGTGGCTGCCATGACCGAATTTGGCTTTACCATCGATCCCAAAGTCGGCTCAATTTACACATTTGTACCTCCTGAGAAGGTATCGGTGCGGAGGGATATAACGCTTCATCGGCCGCATCAGGCAAGTATTGAGGGGCGACTCCTTCTGATCTACTCCCGGCGCTTGAAGAAGGTGTATGGTTGGGATAGCTCCACGTTCGTTGCGGAGTAGGCGTAGTTGATGTTGTGTAGATAGGTATGCAGGCGCTGAGGTCCGCTCATAAGACAATATGATCGCGACCTGGGAGCGCGATCCCATCGAAACTTTTCAATATGCAAGATTCCCATGTGTGATTGGGTTTGCGCACCCTTTGAAACCTCATTGCGCAAATGACATGCTGTTGTGGATGTGATCCAAGTTCATCTCATACAAACTGAACAGGTCTGCAGAGTACATTGTGATGAGACAAGCAGATTAGAAAACATACCTTGATGTAGACCTCAGGGTGTTCAGTTTCTGCCTTGATTGACGTGAACCCATGGCAATGCTTTGGCGCGCCGACTGTCTTGTTGTCGCGTCAGACGAGGGCGCCAAATTTGGGGGGCTGGAACGGCAAATTTCAAGGATCAGCAGGGCTCCTGCCGCCGGCCCGCACCCGCACCTGCTTCTCTCCTCCAACACCACCACATTGTGATCGCGATGGACTCATGTGACGCGACACACCAGCGAGAGCATTATCCGCACGCCTAAGACCATAGCCATTCATGAGCCCCCCATTCAGGCAGACATTGCTATGTACTGAGCCTCACTTTGTGCGGCAATGTGATCCGTGTTCGGCTTTCTACGCCAGGAAGCCACGTCGGAAAGCAAGCCACGCCTGAGGCTCGCAGTCTAGCCCTCAGGCATGGCGTCAACCCGGATCAATCATTCGCTGGACGAGACATCCAGGCGCGGGGTACATTTCCAGCTGAGTGAATGTTCATGCGCAAGCTCCTCAAGGCAACATTGAGGCGCAGCGGTTGAGGCGCCTTTACATATAGCTGGACACAAAGGCTGAAAACGCGATGTACAATTCCACTGGTTTTCGACACTCTGTACCTGCAAGCCTACCATATAAACCATGGCCACTCCCCCACTCATTGAGAAGCAAGTATATCTGGCGCTCAAGGACATTTTCAGCGATGGTCCAACACCGCCTAGCACCGAGAAAAAGATTCGCAAGAAGATCAGGAAGCATAAGGACGAAGCCAAGATTGCTACTCTGATTCAAAGATATGGAGTGGATAGGATCAACGCGGTAGCCTTCGCTCTGTCAGGAGACCAGATCTTTGCTTCAACCGAGAAAGCGAGAACACGCTTTCCTGATGTCTTTGGAGGTCTCTCTAATCAGCCCAGTCCACCAATTTCCCCCGTATCTCAGACTGGAACGAACAGCGCAGCGGCTGTGCAGCCTGCAGTTACCGAGTCCAGCACTGCAGCAAGTAGTGTAGCAGCTGCACAACGTGTTGCAGGTACATACAATCCCGAAGAACTCATGGGCATCGGCGACAGGCTTAAAGCTAGGAAAGAGAGAGAGAAGATCAATAATGGTACGTTGAATCAACGTATTCACAAGCCGTGCTAATAAGATTTCAAGCAACCTCGCACACGCAGCTGTTCGATTCCGTAGCCTTGCCACTCTGGGATCAGCACCGCATCCTCGTCAGGGTTCAATACACTCTCGAAAAAGCCTGCTTCGATTTTGCGCAGGAGAGGCTAGTTGGGATTTTGCAGCGAGAAGGCTGGGACTGCGCAGAGGCAGTCGAACTCAACCAATGGGCCAGAACATTACTAATCTACCGAGACGAACTCAAATTGGACGACATGAAAGACGATGTAGAGCCTCTGCCCGGTCTCATGGAATCGATTATCCAGCTCCGACATAACGCCGTTCACCGCGTTCGCCTGTCTTCCAGTGGGCTCTTACAGCACCTTACCGATGCTGTACTTCTTGCGCAGCTCTTACATGACGACAAATGCTGCAAATTTCTCTCAAATATACGACAGAGAACTCACAATGCTATCGAAGAGCTGGTACGCAACAAGCAGTTACTAGATGGGAGATTAGCCGATATCAAGAGAGAGTTTGCTGCAAAGAGAGCTGAGCTCGAGCGCCAAGAAGCTGCGCTACTGGAGGCTGCGGTGAACGAGCACAAAATACCTATGGTCTCTGTCAGTGGAAGTTTGCACCGGCTGTCGGACGATCATGGTAGTAATACTGAACAAGTACATGCGCCATGGCTACGTGTGTACGATACCGATCTACCCGATGATGGGTCTTCTGGACCTGAGGATACTACCAGCCAAAGCCCGGAGAGCGAGGCCACCAAAGTGATCGATGACGATGCAGACGTTGTCAGCTCACCGTCCATGCATCCTGTACCTACAACACCAGTCGACGATGTCTTGCTGGAACCAGTCATTCATCCCGAGCATCAAGAAGTCGAGAAAGATGAGGACAATGATCTACCAATAGTGGAGATGATTCCTATAGAAGAGTCAAAGCTCGAATATCACGAGAGCGACCAGGAGCACCCCTTAGACCCTCCACCACTCGACCAAGATGATACAACCACAGACACTGAAGAAGCGATGGAAGGACATGGAAAGAGTCTGGAGAAAGCGGACGCATCCGATTGGGAAGACTCCGGGTTCCAGGATAATGATGAAGAGATCTTCTATGAGCCAAGTACCAATCTTGCGTTTGGTTGCGGGGACGGAGCTGTAAGCGACGCATTAGAAGCACATTACGAATCACCTATCGACGATCAAATCAGAATCACACCCTGGATCGAGGATGGCAGCGAACTAAAGGGTTCTTAGAGGATCACGGACACCGTCCCACCTCATAGCTACGATTCAATAGTCAAACAAACTTCATTTCACCTCATTACATATCCTTATGCACGAGCCTCCTCCTCTTCCACCAACTAAATTAATCCACTACGGAATCGATCCTTGTCTTCTGCCCCTCCTCCTTCTCCGCCTTCTTGGCTTCTTTTTTCGCCTTGCCCTCCGCCAATTTCTCCTTGGTCTTGGCTAAAGCGGACTTTGCGGTACTCCCCACCTTGGATTTGACCTTGTGGGACAATTTTTCCTTCTTTTTGGCGTCCAAGTCTTCCCACGTCGTCATCCTCTCTGGTGGGAGAATGTCATCGAAGGTGTGGGCTGTGTTTACACTGTTCAGGCGCGGCCTGTTCGAGCACAGATAAGTGGTGGTGTTTCTCGTGGAAGACATTGCTGTGGGGTGCGTGTGAAATGGTGTTTGTGATGGTCTGCGGGTATATAGGATTCGAGAGTCGAACATTTTATAGGTATACCAGAATGCTCTGTCCGTCTGCCTCGAGCAGTCCACTGTGAGCAAACATGTTGATTTGAGTATATACGAATGAGGTTGAAGTGTATTGTGAATGAAAGCGGTCGAAAGTATGCGCTAAATAGTCATATTTGACGATATGAGACACTACGTTGCATTGTTTGGAACAGCCCATACTGTCTGACTCGGAAAAGACATGCTAGAGACGACACTGCAGTCGTGGACGTTGTTGTCTCATAGACGAGATGCTGGACCAGCCGAACTGGCCCTTTATGTTCCCGCTCCTAGTCGCAGTCAGGATGAGATGGCCAGTCTCGGGATGCACAGAGCTGTGACTTCGCGCAGAACTGGCAACCCAAATCTCTGCCATGTCGCTCGCCGAATGTCTATTGCGTCAGTGCAAACTGTCACATCTTGTATGTAGCCAACTCGCTAGTTCCTCGCCCATTCGTTCTCGACACTAGGCTGCTGGTCGCGCTCGACATGCCCTGGCAACGCGCCATCGAGGCGGCGATTGCCCTCCTCAATAGCACGGACTGAGTCTTGGCTGTCTTCTTCCGTCTCCTCCTCGATGCGGTCAGAGTAGCGGTTGCCGTTGTAGCCGGGTATGTAATCGATGGCTCGTCGAGGCTCGGTGTCGCCGTTGCGCTCGTCGGCGATCATGCGGGAGATACGGTCCGGCGCAATACGATGCAGCCAGGACTCCTTCTGTGTGGGAACAGCGATGATGAGGATCTAGGGAGTCAAATTAGCATTGGCGTCTCGGAGCGCTGTAACCCCCACTACGTACCTGCCAGATGAAAACCATGCCCACGACGGACATGAGCATGCCGGCAACTACTTGCTCCTCAGCCTTCCAAAACCTAAAGCAGCCATCGGCTCTGCCAGCATACGTGATCTGGCATGCGTCGGCCTTGTGTGTTTTGTCTGGAAACGGCCATGCCATGTCGCGCGCGTTGGCTAGGCCACAGCACTCAAAGGCATCCTGGATCTGGCGGATGGCACTCGCATCCTTGTGCTTGAACAACGTCTGCCAGCGCTCGCGCAATCCGCAGTCTAATCCAGAAGGCGGCGCGGCATGAGTGCCGACGAGGGTAATGACGACCGACGAGTAGATGAAGATGAGCGTGTTCGCGATGATTACGAGTGGCGGGCGCTGGATCTCGCCGCGCCCCAGATGCTTGCGACGCTCTTGCCGACGCGTGAAGTCATAGCCGCACTCGAGTAGGAGGCCTGAGACGATGGGTAGAGCCGTAGTGAAGCCGGTCAATGTGTCGGAGATGGGCACAGAACGAGCGTTCGCGCGGGAGGCAGCCCACCTAGACGTGTTAGCGCGGTCCTAGCATCGTCGGTTACGATGGGAGTTCACCCTGCGAGCGCGGTTGCGATGACGAGATACTAGATATTGTTAGAACGCGCACGTGAAAGCTCGCACCGCATGAGACCCTACTAGCACGCTGATGCAAGTCACGACCTGCTTCCTGGTGTACGTCATTTTGCTGATGGTGACTCGGAGTCAGGCAGCCTAGTCGATGCTAGAGGCGGCTAAGTAGAGTAGTAGCAAAAGCGAAATAATCCGTCGTAAGCAATGTCGCGAAGGCAATGGCAGACAGGCAGACCTGCAGCGGGAGATGGGAGGAACTTTGGTGCTGTATAGCTTTGGCTTCTCCGCATCCCAAGCAGGCGGTAGGTTACCGCCGTACAAGGGTCCCGAGGACCTTCTGCATCTATCTCAGCGCAGAAGATGATTACTGTCTATCTTTGCTGGGCGTCACCGTGAAACGTGCAAAGCCTGAGCATGCCCTCATCGGTGAGACGCAGGCCACGGCAAGGGCAGTCCGCGGAGGACAAGCCAGCTGAAAGCGACATGGCAGGGCTCTGACTACCCGGTGACGCATCAAAGGACACGCACGCTTGCATCTGCGATGCGCTGCATCAGGCGGCTGCACACAGACGGCGTATCACCCTGGCCATGTGGTAGAGGCAGTCAATGGTGGTGTGAAGGAGTTGGGGACAGGAAGGGGTGTCTCACGCGTGATTGGGCTAGACGCTAGCGTTACCGTTGGCGGCTTCTGCGCCGGTTGATGTGAGTTCTCGATCTCTCGATCCAAACTTTTTCCATAGCGACGTCATGCCTCATCTACAATCGCACAATGCCTGAGCGGGGTAATATTCAACTCCTCGCAAAGCAACCAGGAGTGTGAGGCAGCAACAGCGCGTCTTCTCGTCAAAGGTCAGCGTGCTCCCAGCTCGTATGACCACGGGAAGTGGCTTGCCAGTGTGTTGTCTGCAAAACAAACGCGTTTGTCCACACGATCACCGTCGCCCGTATGCTAACATCATTGGGCCCCAGTGCCTAGTGCCCTTCCCGTCCTGCAAAAGCGGGGATTAACTGTTTATACACACAACTAACAATGGGTGAAAGTCAGCCTTAATCCGCGGTGCCGCCAGCGCTTTGCTTTCCTTCGTTTTCCCAATCTCGTCCTCACCCCAGCCTCGTCGTGCAACACATTCACTGTCCGACATGCTGCTGTTTTCACCGCAACGATGCGACGCTCTCCTCAATCAGTCAGCAAAACAAACGGGCTCCATGTTTAGGCGTTTCTCCGTTCCGCTCTGGCCAGCCAGCCAACCCTCCATCCAACTCTCACCACGCGCACCCAAGCAGCAACACCAACCTGCCCGTCCCTCACCACCAAGAAGAGGACAGTCACCACCAAAAGAAAACACCACCACTCAAATGTCACATCAACCCGGCACTCCCCGCTCAGCGGCCTTCTCTCCCACGCTTGGAAGCATTCCAGAAGTCTTCGAGTATGAACCTCTCGACGCCCAATTTGGTCCTGCTTCACTGAACGATGCGCCCGAGACCCCAGCGGCTTTCTTACCCGAGGTTTCCGACCTGAGTCCGCCGACGCTGACCCGAGCGACGTCGTGGCCCGCCATCATCCAGTCACCATCCCGGAGGGTCGCCTCACCTTTTGCTGTCTCCAAGGCACTGCGCAAAATCCTGGAAGCCGATCGCGTCCGACGGAGGCGCATTATGAAAGTCTACCTGAAAGCTATTGTTTTCCTAAAGTACCTCTGGCGCGCTAACGAGCGCTATGGCAATGTTATGGTCACCACTGGCATGTACATGCAACGATGACCGACGCAAGCAAAGGTTGGGATCTTCAGGCGTTTTAGCATGGGAATGGCGCGGAATGACACGACTCGATTGTATTATGATTTTATGGTTTACGACATAGCGATTGCATTGCCTGGAGGGATGCATAGCCGCTGGCGTTTGGCATTGGAATGGCGTTTTTATTCCCAGGTGAACATTGCTACTACTGTGAGCTTGACTGGTATTAGCCAGCTTCTGGATCTTTTGATCGAGCACTGTGGATACAGTACTATACCAAATGAGACTGTGTCAAAAGAGCTCGCCTGTGCTTTTCGTTTCTTCACGCTGTCTGACACTATTCACTTACTCTCCAGCGATAACGTCCATTCACGATACAGTGGTTGCATCACAGACTCCAAAGCGCCATAATGTTCCGCCAAACCCACGCAGACTCGACCGGCTCGCTAGATCGGTTGTACGAATGAAGGCGCAGGCACCTCGCTCAACGACGCTCTGTTTCACCCCGAGCGGCGACCTACGACGCACCTTAGTTCCCGTGAGACTTCGAGCAAGACCTACGACATCTGAAAGTAAGCAAATAGCAATCGGCTGGTCACACCCCCTCCCTGAGTTCAACTTATAGACACGCAAGATGTCTTACTTGTGCCTCTTTGGCACTTCGCCCGCAACGTCTGGATGCACGGCCGACCAAAGATTGCCATCATCATCATCAACTCGTTCACTGTCCCCTGCTAGCGACCGAACGCGTGCAAGCTCTTTCTCGACAACCACGACTTCCAGCACTTCCCCGAAGAAACGCACGAAGACCATCGTGCACCCTCCATGTATACCTGTATGCAATAATGGCGCTCCAATCGAATTGCCTATCACCCAAAAACATTTATCAAACCCTAGACGACCGACAATAGAAACAGCGCGTTCTGCCTCATCGTCGGATGAGAGGCCATCAGTATCGGCGTCGGCATCGACGTCGGCATCAGCCATACCTGTGCTAAGACTTTTGCGTCCCGGGGAACAATACGCAGGGAACATTGGCCGATTAGATAAAAGCACGGTAACGGTTGAGGTTGAAGTCTCCAGCGAAGCTGCTAGGAAAGCCGAGAGCTCGATCTGGTATATACCGAGACATTAGGGTAGGCGAATGAGGATAGATTGGCGTGGATGTATTCCAGTTATCAGTGAAGCGGGAAACAAGCTGATGCTCATACACGCTACCATAGCAAACCGCTAAACAGGTTTGCAGCCTACATCAATATAAAAATATGCTAAGTAGGTAACCTAACGTCGATGTAGGCCCCAGGCCTGTTCAAGTATTTCTTTTGTATAGGCGCATAGCTGAGTAACGGTATCTAACGTCAGCTTATTCTTACCAACAATGACATCAATACCCCAAGTCTCTCAATCTCTCCTTCCAGAATTGCAATCTTGCCACATCGCAAACATCGCTCCCTCCTCTTTCCACCCACAGGTCACCCCCAGGTATCGACTCCGTACCCGCCCTACACATCTTTTCGATCTCTTCCCCAGCGATCAGAACCCACTGTGCAGCCGCCGGTACATGCATAGCTGTATTCTTGCCCAGCCTTGTACCAGGCGAGTATTCCAGTGCCATGGCTAAAGTCACACGAGACAGTCTGGTGTAGTCTGCAAGAGCTGGTGTGGTTTGAGCATCCGGGTCATGCGCGATTAGGGCGAGGAGAGTGTTGAAGTCTTTCCATTTGGTTGTTGCGGCTTCAGGGGTTGCTGGGTTACGGATACTGTGAGTCCATAGCTCGGGACCTGTCGTGACAACGTCAGCCATGGGATGTATAGAGTCGCAGACGGTAGGCATAAAGATTTGACAAACGTACCCTGGAACTTCTCCGTAAGATGCATACTAAACCCCAGTAACTGGCTCCACAACCTCTTTCCTTCAATCACAATGACCTCCCCTACCTCAATTTTGGGTGGAGGCTCAAGGCCAGGTACATCCCAGCTCCTGGCCTCTGGTCCGCGGTTCACAGCATCTGGTTGTCTTGCTAGTTCAACGAGATATGCTACGAGTAGTTTCAGTTCGTTGAAACTAGTACATGATTCAGCAGCCGAATAGTAGAGACCAACGAGATCGGCTAGAGCGAAGCTGATGTCGTCTTGCGCTTCGACGAGGGAGGCTGTTGCGGAGGCAGAGCTTTGGGGGAAGGTTTTGGAGGAGAGGAGCTCGTCGATGATGGTAACCTGTTGGGTAGATGCTGGAGTGGATGAGGGGTCGGAAAGCCATTTCCTTGCCCATTCGGTCGTCATGTTGGGAGGTTTTGACGAAGTCCGTCATGCACATGGAAGAGTTATGTTTCATGGCCTGTATAGCTTTTCTAAGAGCACACTGAGGTCAAAAAGATGTTCTCCGACTGACCATACACCCGTGTTATCCGCATCAGCCCTTTCTGCGCCCTTTGCTCCTCGACGCACAGTGGTTGGACACACCAAGTCCGCCATATCGCCACTCGTCGTGTGACGTCATAGGAGAGTGTGCATCGGGATGCCAGCAGAAACGACCGCGAAGGGTGAACACTTGGTAAGAAATGCTAGGCGCGACAATGAAGACAAAGTGATGTCTTGGACTAGTGCAATGTTGTATAGCCGACGGAAGGCTGATCGGTCTCTCGCCTTGCGTAATGCGTTGTGACCGATTGGTTGATGCTGTCATCTCCGGGGTAGCGCACGTACGAGTCATGTTGTTCCTGCCCAGATCTTCGCCACATCGCGTCTCCAGCATTCACTCCCGTCTACCCCGCAAACTTCTCCCTCCATCAGACGACGCGTCTCGACAGGTCAACAGTGTCACGAATGATGGCCTCCCTCTCTCTGACCTCTGAAACACCGCTGTCGAGAAGCATTCGGCACTTTGAAGTATAGGGGTCCTTCTCTGCGTTATCAACCTCCACTCACCCTGGGTCGTTATACAGCCGAGGGAAGCTTAGAGGGGCATGCCGAACGCCTACATGCTAGCGCCACTGGTACTAACTACCGCGTGTACTATTCTGATGTCTCCAAGCCCTTCTCTCGATCTAGCTAAGACCCAATGTATCTCTTCTTCACCCATCGCTCTTCATGATGCGTGCCTTTGCGCGAGCCATCTCGCGCCACCAGTACAGTGCTCATCGGCAGTTACTTAACCCAAGACACCACAGGAAGTTCGCCTCCGTCAATGGGCCGAATGTCAAAGGTCTCACTGTCATTGACCACCACTATGAGTAATCGACATTCAATCTATGGGGACGCACGTAGCTAACTTCAGTCCAGTGCAATCGTGGTGGGAGCCGGGGGCGCTGGCCTTCGAGCTGCCGTAGGACTCACGGAAGCCGGACTCAAGACCGCATGCGTATCGAAGCTCTTCCCTACCCGTTCACACACCGTCGCTGCGCAAGGTGGAATCAACGCTGCGCTTGGGAACATGACTGAGGACGACTGGCGATGGCACATGTATGGTAAGCAAGTGTGCTATCCAAGACGGCTTTGGCTAACATGCGAGTAGATACCATCAAGGGGTCAGATTGGCTCGGTGACCAAGACGCGATACACTACATGACACGCGAAGCTGTCCCGGCAGTCGTCGAACTCGAAAACTATGGCATGCCATTCAGTCGAACGAACGAAGGCACCATCTACCAGCGAGCGTTGGGAGGGCAGTCGCTCAAATACGGGAAAGGCGGTCAGGCCTACCGGACGGCATGTGCAGCAGATCGTACCGGGCATGCAATGCTTCATACATTATACGGACAGAGTCTCAAGGAAGGAGTGCAGTTCTTCATCGAGTGGTTTGCGCTCGACTTGATGATGAGCGAGGGCAAGTGCGTGGGCATAACAGCGCTGAATATGGAAGATGGCACAACTCACAGACTCTTTGCCCGGAACACGGTGCTGGCTACTGGCGGATACGGAAGGGCATACTTCAGTGCAACAAGCGCGCATACAAGTACTGGCGATGGGAGCGCAATGGTCTCAAGAGCAGGACTGCCGCTCCAGGACATGGAATTTGTGCAATTCCACCCTTCTGGCATCTATGGCGCAGGCGTATGTTAACGGATGCAACTACCACAAAGTTTCTCGACTGACGAACACACTAGGTCTTGATCACCGAAGGCGCTCGCGGCGAAGGCGGCTATCTCCTCAACAGCGAAGGCGAACGGTTCATGGAACGCTATGCTCCTACTGCCAAAGACCTTGCATCTCGCGACGTCGTCTCTCGCTCTATGAATCTCGAGATCCTAGAAGGCCGCGGCTGTGGGCCGAACAGAGACCACATACATCTCCAGCTCTCCCATTTACCAAAGGACGTCATCATGGAACGCCTGCCTGGAATCGCTGAAACAGCAGGAATCTTCGCCGGCATCGATATCACGAGAGAACCAATACCGGTGTTGCCGACAGTACATTACTGTATGGGCGGTATACCGACGAATTATCATGGACAGGTGCTGGATGTAGACGCCAAGAGTGGGAAAGAAGCGGTTGTCGACGGCCTCTATGCCGCAGGTGAGGCCGCATGTGTCAGCGTTCATGGCGCAAATCGACTGGGAGCGAATTCTTTGCTCGACATTGTAGTATTTGTGAGTACTTGAATTCTTCTAGTAATCCTGCTGTACATGCTGACCATGTTCAGGGCCGCGCAACAGCACTGCACATCTCTGCGAATCACTCGCCATCTGCGCCTCATACTCCAGCCCCCGAAAATGTCGGCCTCGACTCCATCAGCGAGATAAACACGTTCCTAGACACGAACGGAACCACAACGACCGCCGCTTTACGAAACGACATGCAAGCCACCATGCAATCAACGACGGCCGTGTTCCGCACCCACGACTCACTATCCAAAGGCAACACTCAACTCGGCGATATCGAGAAGACATATACCACCGACCTCCGCGTCACAGACCGGTCCCTGATATGGAACTCTGATCTTATCGAGACGCTCGAATTGCGCAACCTTCTTACGAACGCCTCGCAGACGAGTAAGGCGGCGTTGACAAGGACAGAGAGTAGAGGCGCGCATGCGAGAGATGACTTCAAGGAAAGAGATGATGAAGAATGGATGAAGCATAGTCTGACGTGGCAGGGCAACGTCGGTCAGGAAGTCACGTTTGGTACGAGGGCGGTACAGATGGCGACGTTGGATGAGAACGAAGCGGCGAGTGTGCCGCCTATGAAGCGCTCGTATTGAGGCCAGGGAATACCTCTAGGTCAACTTGAGGCCTCCGCTTCGCCTTTGGCCGCCTTCCTGGTGATCATGTACAACTCAAACGTTGACATGGACCTATTGATTCACCTTGTTAGCATACTCATCTATTCTGAACTACTACTACAACGTCAAGATGGGTTCGATTCGTACTTATCGTCTCCCTTGTTTCATGCGTTGTGCAATACGACGAGATATCGGTCCACGTAATGATGAGTAAGGAGCACATATCATTCCAGCTATTTACGCCGTTCGCCGTTGAATATAGTGTGGGAATTTTGCAAACTAAACCGAAATCCTCCGCATAACCTTTGATCTCATCATACACTCTTGTTCATTCGTGAAGTCCCAGATCCCAGCATTAACATCACTAATCATCCCAGCACACCTTCAAAGCTACACATGGAGTTAGCACATATTCTGAAGTCAAAACGTCAAGGTATCAGGAGGAAAGACTTACCACAAGGGAACGGGAAGTACATATCCTGGTTCTCCGTCAAGTAAGCATGGTACGAATACTTCTCCTCGCCCGGACCCATCTTCTTCTCCACCTTGTGGATCTTGCCCTGCGGACCCAGCGCTGGGCGAAGATTCTTGAGTCGAGCGACTTCTCTGAGCATAGTCGTGAGCGCCATGCGCGTCATTGGTAGTCCGAGACACTGGTGTGGACCGTATCCGAGGTGGATGTATGAGTCTAGAGAGCGTGTGATGTCGACTTCATCTGGGTTGGGGAAGACGTCTGGATCGTGAGACGCAACGCGTAGGTTTACGAAGACAGCATCCCCTGGTTTGAGGTCTATCGACTTTCCATTCTCAGTGATGGACGTGGGTTTGGCGACGGCCCGGATGACGCCTGTTTCGCCGTTTAGGCGGCCACCTTCCATGGTGTAGTGCATCAGCTTCTCGAACGCTTCTTCGCTGTCGTCTTCAGCAAGCTTCTGGATCTCGGGCCAGTGTTTCTTGCCGTCGCCGAGGATGTAGTATTCGATCGTTTGAGCAAAGAGCTGGCCTTGATTAGACACCATACCACCTGCTGTACCGAGGATATGACCCCAAGTCAGGGTTTCTGGCGACATGCCGCTCTCTAGCAGTCGCTTGATCATGTGCACGCCATGGAACTTCATGGTAGTTTCCTGAGGCCAGATCGTCGCCATGATACTGGACAAGATTCCAGAGTTTGCAATGGCCTGCACGTTCTTCTCAACGATGTTTCCAAGCAGTTGTGTTGCCTTCCTTGCTTTGACGTGCAAGGGGAAAGACGAAGCAGGATCCGCATCGAAGAAGATGAGCGCAAAGACCGACGACATGATGAGATAGAGTTCAGCCTCTGTGAAGATACCGTAGGGCTGTGCGGCCGTCTTGAGCGGCAACATGAACAGCTCAGAGCAGAAGTGGACGTGGGCAAGATTGCCGATGGAGCGTATGATGTCAACTTGGTTGAAGTCGGCAATCTTTACGCTCTTCTCTTTCAACAGCTCCCTCGTCTTGAGCGTATAGTAGTTGCGTACTTCCTTGTCCCACGACGAGACGTAAAGGGCTTTGCTGACCATTTGCCTTGATGCGGCATTCTTGGGTCCGTCGCCAGCAAGCATGAAGTCGGCGGATGCGGGACTCATGATGTATTCCATGGCTCTGCCCCAGACGACTTTGAAGGTAGCTTGGTCTTTCATGATTTCGGTGGCGAGTTTGTACTCTTTGACGAAGTGTGGGTGTGCTATTGCCACTGGTTTGCTGAAGTCGTACAGGTTGTCCTTCTTCAAATCGGTGAGAGCCACCTTCATCGCGGAGGGAACTGTTAGAGGGTAATGTGCGTACACGCTGTTGTACTTGAAGTGCTGTGGGAAAGCGCGCAGGAAGAGCTTGTAGAAGACACATCCATTGTCAACACCAAGATCGCTATCAGCAAGCTGGTAGCCCCAATTAGTCAATGTGCGCGGGTTGTAGTCGTGAGTGTAGAATCGGTCGCCGCGCACCAAGGCTACCGCGTCGGAGAGAACAGCACGAGAGACGGTGTACCCTGGACAGAGACCGGAACCTGGAGCCATGGGTTGCTTCGCATCCTCGACAA